ACAGTAACAATGGTCCTTGTGAGTATAAAACATACTAGTTCTATCCGTCTGCTGTGTCGCACCGTCACCACACTGCTACTGCACTGCTGTCTGGGTTCTATTTTTTCTTTTCTTCTTCTTTCTCTGTTTTTATCTTCTTCTTCTTCTTCTTCTTCTTCTTCATTTCTCGTTGTCATGCACGACTCGAAGTTTAACAGCCGAACCGTCTCGCACCCGTCCGCCACGATCAGATTCGCGTCTCCGGCTGTCGCTAATCCCTGGGATAAAACCGAGCCCGCGGGCCGTTGCACGAATAACAGAATAAGTTAGTGCGAATGTGGGATCCCAGGCGAAATAACGATCGTTATTCAAGCCTTGTTAACATCAGCGCCGCTTTATCCCGCGAATAATACGATGACTGGAAACGTTGCCACGAGAATTTAATTGGAATTAGCGGCGGTACGTCTGCGCGCGCGTCGGAGCCGGGTAATTAATGAAATTGAAGTTTCCTCCGAAAGCCTCCTTAATTCTTGAATAATTTTCTTGGTTTTCGCCGGGCGTCGTCCCGGCCAACAATTATTCGAGGCTTTCGTCTTTTATTAAAGCGCGCCGCCGCGTTTATCATTAGCGCCGATACCGATTGCCGTCTCAAACCGTCGCGAATACCTTAAACAATCTATCGCCCGATAATTGAATTTATTCTCGAATAAAAGCGAATCGCCGAGGTGCCGCGAACCGAGATGAATAATTGTCGGCCGACCCGAAAGCGCCGCCGCATTTCAATTGCGTCCTGTTTCATTAATCTCGCATCGCCGTCCCTTATACCGAGAAGTTGACAAGCTTTGAGTAACGATACCTCCGAAAATCGAGTGTTCGATTTCATGCTGTTCGAATGCAAACCGAAACTGGACGATTTGGGACACTTCCAGCTCCCACGCGTGGCTTTTCGCACCCACTCACACGCATCCGGTTCATCGAGATTCTAACAACTCTAACCGCCGATCACCAAGCACGTCGCACGAGCCTGTGAAAACGAAACGAATCACGGTGCTCCGATCGTTAATAACAATGAAACTTTTAACGGCATGTTAACCCCGACACTCCTCTCCCGGGCAGGGAATGCTTTGGTCGTGCACTTTGCTCCACGATCATACTCTTACTTTTGTTCACCGTTTCCCTCCCCGACCGTAACTCGAACCGGTCTCATTATCTCATAGAAGCAACGGAGAGCTGTGTAAAACGGGCTTGGAGCACAGTGTTGCTTAAACGCAGTATGTCGTTACTTCGGAACCGCTCTTGGCGCAAAGTAATTTATCTCGAAACGCGTCTCGAACATGCCTTATCGTCGGCACACCTCTTTTTTTTACATAAATACATTTTTTTTACTTTTTTCATTATTTTTTTTTTCGTTTGCTCACCTGCGGAGGTTTTCGTAGCTTCACACTGTTCGCATGACGTGCCTGCACCTTGAGTCGCGCCGTTACGAACGGAGAACCGCACTTCGAACGAGCTGTAGCGTAAAGCTGCGTTCTCACTTGAATGGTCGAGCCTGGATCACGTTTCAAAAGCCTGAAATGATTCGTACGAAAAAGATTGATGGGCACTGTAAAGGTGTATGGACTGTACTTTATAATGTTCAAGTGGGATTGCGATTTGATGCTACGAATAGATGAATAGAGGCAGTTGTGCTGCTTTTGGCAGGTTGACTTTGACACCTCGTAGTCGATTTCCTCTTGGGATTGTTCTGTTTGAATCGATCAAAGTTTTATCGCTAGAGCCTGCAATTGAGAGTAACCTTACATTTTCGTAGTTACACAATTATAATCTACCATTGAAGATTAAAATATTCATCACTAAACTCTAGGCCGTTGATCTTTGAATTTAGAAAGCTCGTCAAGTATTCCTAATAAAAAATATACGAAAGACTTCGCGATAAATGAGTCAACAATAGTCTGAAATACCGCTGCCAGCAGTCCCAAAATATTACGAATGGAAAGACGTTCCGTCTACTTGGACGATCTCGGTTCTAGCAATCGCGAGCAAAAATGAATCCCAAGTCAACCTGTTAATCCGCATACCGCACGATCATGTTCGAGGGTGCAGACATACTCTGGTAGCATTCGCAGATTCATTCGCGGTGTCCGAGCGTCTTCTTGCAAATATGTTTACTACGTGACTTGCATTCACCAGTGTCCCCTTGGTGTCCGCGAAACCGAGCAACTCCGCGTGAAAATCGTGTCCAGATGAAAGCGGGCCGCGCGAGGGTGTCCCGGTTAGACAGTGAAAACGTATGCTTCGTAGGGGTTTGATCGATCGAGTCTCGTTGCCTATTGTCGCGAGCGTGCCCAGTGACACGGGGTACAGCGGAAAAGTTTCTCGGCTTTGTGGACGCTACGCTGCATAGAGTGCTTTGGGTCTACAATCTTCTCTTCAATAAATCAGGTGTAATCTATGTGGTGGATGAGCTGGATTATGAACAGAAGAAGCAATACGAGCTGACGGTGCGCGCGACCGACAGCGTGTCCGGCGTTTACGCCGAGGTGCTGGTCAGCATCCTCGTGCTGGACGTGAACGACTGCCCGCCGGAGTTCACGCAGGACTCGTACAACGTTTCGGTGTCAGAGGCGGCGTCGTTCGGCACCTCTGTACTGAAAGTTAGCGCCAAAGACAACGACACTGGTAAGTGTTCCTTCGATTCTCGGGTTGCACGTGAAATCGCCGATCGCGCTACGGTTATTACGACGGACGTAGATTCCGGGGAATAAAAAAGGGATTTAATTACCGAACAGAAAAGTGCCAAGTTGGTTCTACATGATGGCCCCCTTTCAATTTGTAATTAATGGTAAGACAGCGGGGAACCCGTAAATAGCACGCGTCTGTTCGTACGTGCTCGAGGAAGATTAATGTTATTGTAATTAGCGTGACAGGCCCCTTCGTAATGAACGTCCAGACTGGTTCAAGCAACCCGGCCCAAAATACATATTGTGCATTAATGAAAGCAGCAAATGTAGTCGTGCATTATTAAGGAATTTTCGGTGTATCTGTAACAGCTGCGCATTTGTTGAATTTTTGAGAGTCCTGACAGAATTTCAAATGAACCTTTAGTAACTGCATAGTTGACGAGCCGGGAATTATTCTTTTACATATAGAGCATCGCCCGTGCAGCGTAATGGACTGCTATTTTTCTATAAATGCATCAAAAATGCATTCGCGGCGAACGCGTTTCCATTTGGTCGATCGTTTATTCAGCAATTGTAAAATACGATGTTATTGCAAACGAATCATCGAGTTTTTAAAAAACATGCGTATTTATTTTAGATTAAACGTGTTTCCTGTAACGCGGAAACTCGCGTCGAATATTTGCGATCGTACAAACAGCCTGAGCGTCCTCCTTTCATTCTCGTGCATCGTTTAAATACATATGTCCGTAATACATTCTGAAACATTCCTCTTCAAAAGCCAACGATTTTTTCCGCTGAACCCGTACCTTTTTACGAGGCAACGACTTTGTCCCCGTCCAGGTATAAACCAGCAGGTGCGCTACGCGATCCAAAACGACACGGAGGGCAGCACGGATCTGTTCCACATCGACCCGGAGGAGGGTGTGATATTCTTGAAGAGATCGTTGGACCACGAGGCGCACGAGTCCCACCACTTCACGGTGATCGCGATCGACCGGGGCGTGCCCAGCCTCGCGAGCACCGCACACGTCTGGGTGACTGTCATCGACATGAACGACAACCCGCCCAAGTTCGAGCAACCGTCGTACACGTGTTCCCTGTCCGAGCACGCGGAACGGGGTCAGTTCGTGACGGTAGTGTCCGCCAGCGATCCAGATTACGTCGACGAGAAGCTTACGTACACGATCGTGGGCGGGAACGAGCAGCAAACGTACAACATCGATCAGTCGACCGGCATCATCTCCCTGATCAATATGCAGAACTTCGGCGAGAAGAAGCTCAGCATGCTGAACGTGTCCGTCACCGACAACGTGTACACGAGCTTCACGCGAGTCAAGATCGAAATACTGCCAGCCAACAGGCACAATCCCAAGTTCCCCAATCCAGTGGTCGAGGTCACGGTTCTGGAGAATCAGCTGCCCGGCAGGCTGGTGACCAGCGTGATCGCGACCGACGAGGATTTCGGCGACTACGGTACCGTCATATACACCATACCCTCCGACATGATGAAAGAGATCTTCGACATAAACAGGGTGACCGGCGAGATCGTCACCAGGAAGAAGCTGGACAGGGAGCAACAGAAACTGTACGAGATACCCGTGATGGCTACCGACGGCGGCGGTAGATCGGGATTCGTGATGGTCAAGGTTAAAGTTGGGGACGAGAACGACAACTCGCCTATCTTCCTGATCAGGGAGTACAAAGCTAGCATACACGGGAACTTGAGCTTGAACACCCCGTTCCTGAAGGTTAAAGCTCAGGATGCTGACGAAGACGACGCCGCTAGGATCGTGTACTCCATATACGAGCCGCAGACTTCGGAGACGAAGACTTTGTTTGGAATCAATCCTGACACCGGCGCGCTGTTCTTGCAGAAGAGCGCTGTACCTTGGGGTAAGTGTTCCAAGTATTGTAGATGGATCTTCGAGTTTCTATCGTAGAGATACTGAATGTACAGGATGTCTTAGAAACTACACGCGATTGTAACTAAGAGAACTACCGTGACTAGTAAATAGCAACTGCAAATGATAACACTAGGCTGACGTCCACTGCAACTCTTGTCCACACGATTGTCTTTGAACTTTCCAGAAAATCAATTGTTCGAGTTGTTCATCCGCGCGGAGGACAAGGGAACCACCATTCATCACGCGGACGTTCCACTCAGCGTCTACATCATGGGTCCTCAGGACATCCCGCCGCTGTTCGAGCGAAAAGAGGATAAATTCTTCATATCCGAGGCGTCGCCGGTCGGCACGCCGATAACGAGGCTCAGAACCGTGACCAACACCACGGTGACTTACAGGATAGTCTCCGGAGACGAGGATTCGCCGCTTTTTACCATCGACTCCCACGGCAAGATCACATTGGCGAAACCGCTGGACCGGGAATTGAAAGATAATCATCTGATAGGCGTCCTCGCTGAAACCGATTCGAGCCCCCCGCTAACAGCTCTGGCAGAGATATCACTGCAGGTGCTGGACGAGAACGATCACTCCCCGCAATTCGAAAGTAACCCGTACAGCATCAGTCTGGCGGAGAATATAGAGGAAGGAACGTCGATTCTGAAGATCATCGCGCACGATGTTGACTTGGGGAGCAACGGAGAGGTTCGTTACTCGTTCGGCTCCGACATAGGCGAACTAGCGAATGTGTTCACGGTGGACGCGTACACTGGCTGGATATCGACACTGGTGCAGCTGGATAAAGAGAAACAACCGGAGTACAAGTACCAGGTAAATAGCGAAACATGTTTTAACCCTTTGTTGTTTTTCGCTAGATACATTTCAACATTTTCTGATGAGATAAAGACGACACTTTGTGAAACTAGCTCGAAGAGAAATTACACGTACATCGAGGAACAATGATATTTTATTTCAATATTTCTCAAATTGATGAATTATACGAAGTATAATATTAAATATCAAATTTTATAGTTTTACTGTATGTCAAGTGAGTCACCTCTCGAGTGCAAAGGGTTAATTGTCTCGTGAACCCTTTGCAATCGAAACCCTCTAGAAATATTCAACGTTTCCCGATGATGTATAGACGACATTCTTCCAAACTAAGTAGTGAGAAATGATACAGAAATAAAGAAACGATGTCGATAAATCCAGAAATAACAGTTTCTCCTTGTACAGTCTATTTTATCTACCTTCACATTCCACTCTTCCAGGTGGTAGCCACAGACAACGGAACTCCGAAGCATTTCGCCAGAGCTTCCGTCCACGTGAAGCTGAAGGACTACAATGACAACGCTCCGGCGTTCGTCGACGATCGTTACGAAGCCACCGTGAACGAAGACGCCCTTCCGGGCACCGTGGTAGTTAAACTAGTCACGGTCGACAAGGATTCGGACATGAACACGCCGATCGAATTCTATATAACTTCCGGGGACTCGAGATCGCAGTTCCAGATTAGGTCCACCGGCGAGGTGTACGTGGCAAAAGCGTTGGACCGGGAGACTATCGATCGCTACGAGCTCGTAATCGTCGGCACCGACGGCAAATACGTCTTCAAAACGAGGGTTACCGTGCAGGTGCTCGATGTGAACGACAATCCGCCGTACTGCCTAAGATATCGTTACAGAGACATCCTCTCCGAGGGCTCGCATCCTGGCACCTATGTTCTGACCGTGTTAGCTACCGATTACGACGACGAGCCGAACGCCAAGCTGCGTTTCTATTTGACCGGTGACAACAACGACAAATTCTCGCTGGATAAGGAGACAGGCGTGCTGAAGACCATTGGCCAGCTCGATCGCGAGTCCCAAGCGAGGTACTCGCTGACCGCCCATGTCCAAGACAGAGACAAGCCGTCTTGGGAATGCTCCTCTCAGCTAGAGATCCTGATCTCCGACCTGAATGATAACGCGCCGAAATTCACCATGCGCGCGTACAGCGCCACGCTGCCGGAAGACGTCGAGGTGGGCACTTTGGTAACCAAGGTGCACGCCACGGACGATGACATCGGCATTAATCGAAAGATCAGATACGAGTTCATTGACTCCGCTGATGGCCACTTCCTCATCGCGCCCGACAGCGGCATTGTCACTCTCGGCAAACCGTTAGACAGAGAAACGAAGGCGATGTACAACGTGACCATCCAAGCATTAGATCAAGGCACGCCACAGCTGATCAACGTGACCACGCTGATCGTCAACGTGCAGGATATCAATGACAACCCGCCTGAATTCGCCTCGAAGGTATACTTCTCGAAAGTGCCTGAGATATACGCCGTTGGCACGGAAGTTGCGAGGGTCCTCGCTACATCGAAGGACACCGGCGTCAACGCTGACGTTTACTACTCGATCATCGGCGGAAACGAGCACAAGAAGTTCCAAATCGATGCTAGAACAGGCGTGATCACCATCGTCGAGCAGCTGGATTACGAGCGCGCCAAGGATTACTTTTTGACCATTCAAGCGGTGGACGGCGGGATACCGCCTTTGAGTAACCACGCGACGGTGAACATCACTGTGATCGATAGTAACGATAATGCGCCCATATTCAGCGAGGTCTCGTACAGGGCTACCGTGAGAGAGGACGCTAAGATTGGTGAAAGAGTTACGCAGGTTAGTCTCTATCCCATGACCTTGTTTTCCTTTTTCGACATTAAGAAGTTTTATGATTTCATTGGAAGATCATTATTGCAATTTAAAACACGTTTGCAATATTTTGATATTAATCGTGTTCAGATCCTTTATAAAATCCTTGACTGTTTACGATGAATGCTCCAGGTACTCGCAAATGACTTGGACAGCGAAGAGAACGGAAACGTTTCGTACTTCATAGAACGAGGCGACAGGCAGAAGCAATTCTCGATCGATCAGAAGACAGGGCAAATTATTGTCGCCGCGCCATTGGATCGCGAGGAAGTGAGTACAGGCGACAATTTATGCAGTAACTTCTCGAGGGAACATTCTAAAATACATAAACATACTTTATTCTTTCCAGGTCGCGAGCTACGTGTTGGAAGTCCATGCTCGCGACAGCGGGCTACCGATGCTCTCCAGCTTCGTGATGGTGAACATCGAAGTTTTGGACGCCAACGATAACCCGCCGATGTTCTCCCTCTCGAATTACACAGCGGTGGTGCAAGAGGACAAAGCTTTGGGACACACTGTCCTGCATTTCGTTGTTACCGATGCCGACATCGAGCCAAACGCCGATCCGTACACCTTTGACTTCCGATCCGGAAACGAGGGCGACGCTTTCCGCTTGGAGCAAGACGGCACGCTGCGCACGGCCACTAAATTCAACAGTCGGGTGAAAGATAAATACGTGTTACACATACGCGTCTTCGACAACGGTAGTCCGCCCCTCTACTCCGACGCGTGGGTGGTGATCAAAGTGATCGAGGAGTCTCAATATCCACCTGTGATCACGCCACTTGAGATAGTCATCAATTCCTACATGGACGAGTATCCGGGCGGTATAATCGGAAAAGTCCACGCGACCGATCAGGACCAATACGACTCGCTACTGTACAGTTTAGTGCCAGCATCGCCTATACCGATGGACCTCTTCAAAATCGACAAAATCGACGGCACCCTGGTAGCGCTTCCTCGATTAGACGTCGGAGAATACAGGATGAACGTCAGCGTAACCGACGGCAAGTTCCATTCCTTCTCCGTGGTGAAAGTTAACGTGGACCTAGTGACAGAGAAGATGCTAGAGAACTCTGTGATCATTCGATTCAGAGAAGTCAGTCCCGAAGACTTCATCCTAAGCCACCGGAAGGGTTTCCTCAGAACCGTGCGTCACGTTATGTCCTGCAGACCAAAGGACATCGTCATCATTAGCGTTCAAGCATCCTCCGACGAAGCGAACCTGATTAAATCGAGAGCGATTCGCCAGGCAGTGCACAACGATCTGGACCTTCTGTTCGCGGTGAAGAAACCCGGGACCGGCATGGGGTCTCCAGGATTCTTCCCTTCGGAGAACATTCGCGAGTCTTTGAACCAACATATCAAGGAACTGGAAGGGTCCACGAAGCTCGTGGTCGAGGAGATCGTTAGATTCAAGTGCAACAAGGGCTACTGCGTCTACGGAGACTGTCAGGACAAGATCATTCTCAACCTGACGCAGATCACGCCCGTAGCCACCGACGTGATGAGCTTCGTGTCTCCTAGGCACAAGCATAAGATGGAGTGCAACTGCAAAGAGGGTTACGCGGGTAATCACTGCGAGATGGTAGTCAACGAGTGTGCCAGGGATCCTTGTCCACTGTTCAAGGTTTGCGTGCCGGACTCCTCCGTTCAAGGCTACTCTTGCCAGTGCCCGGAAGGTTTCGCCGGCCACACCTGCGACATAGACATCACCAAATGCCACGACGAATCCTGTTACATCCCGAGGAACTCGATATCCTTCAGCGGAAAGAGCTATGCTCGTTACAGGATCGACAAAACCTTGATTCGACAGACCATCGAAGACCGCCTCAGCCTGTCCCTGCGGATCAGAACGGTGCAATTGACTGGGAACCTTATGTACGCCGCTGGCAAGGTGGACTACAACATTCTCGAGGTTGTCAACGGGGTGGTGCAATACAGATTCGATCTGGGAAGCGGCGAGGGTCTGGTTCGGGTAAGTAGCGTGTACGTCAGCGATGGACAGTGGCACGAGATCCAGTTGGAGAGAGAAAGTAACAGCGCGAGGTTGACCGTGGATGGGAAGCACGTGGCTCACGGATCGGCTCCTGGCAACAACGACATCTTGAACCTCCAGTCGGATGATTTGTACTTGGGCGCGGAAGTCAGGCAACATCCAACGGTCCTGGGCTTCGAGGATGTTCAACGAGGTTTCATCGGCTGCATGGATGACGTCAGGATCGCCAGAGTATCGGTGCCTTTGCACATGAGCGGCGCGAGCAGCGTGGCTGTCCTGAAACGGTTCGCCAATGTGGAGTTCAGCTGCGACGCCGCCACTGTTCTACTCCCGCCAGGAATCTGCGGCTCCCAACCTTGCCAGAACGGTGGCACCTGTAAGGATTCCGGTGGCGACACTTACGAATGCCAGTGCCACAGTAGGTTCAGGGGTCAGGCTTGCGAAATTGACACCGATCCCTGCGCGTCGTCGCCGTGCCTCTACGGAGGACGATGCAAGGTCGTGCCAGAAGGTAGCGACTACACCTGCGAATGCGTCGGGCCGAGTCTGAGTGGCAAACGCTGCGAGTTCGGCAGATACTGCAGCCCCAATCCGTGCATACACGGCGGAGTGTGCGAGGAAGGCAACAACGGGCCGATATGCAAGTGCCAAGGATTCACCGGTGATCGTTGCGAGACGGACGTGAACGAATGCGACGCGAACCCCTGTACGAACGGCGGCACCTGTGTCAACGAGATTGGCACGTACAGATGCATCTGTCCGCCGAATATGACCGGTCTGAACTGCGGGAACCCGGCTTACTCGACGCCAATCATATCCAGCCACTTCAACATCACCTGGGAGCAGCTGATGTGGATAGGGGTCGCGGTGGTACTGAACCTCTTCTTGATCATCCTGTTCGTAGCGTTCAGAAAGATCCGTATGAAGCGCACCAGGGCTAGGGCGAACAACATCAACAACGAGACCAGGAAGCAGATCGTCCTGAACTCGGCCAGGCCGCACGAGCACGAATTCAAGCGAAGTTCGAAGCTGAGCAACTTGGAAGTTATACAGGTATCAGGATCAACGTAGACTTTGTTATACTTTTTTGGTTTTTATTTTGCCAGCAGCACCGACGATTAAAACACGCATGCCTCTAATCATTTCAATCGTTACCAGTGCCAGTGAGTAGAGGACTCTAGAGTTCGTCTATTATTTTTTTGTTCATTTCCGTGCCGTTTCTTCTTGGTTTGCGACCATCGTATCTCCCGCCCCCTTATCCAGCGAGTGACGCGTGCATTGAGTTTAAGGTTTTCGTGTGATTCTTTGTTTGCAGAGAGAACCTCCCCAATGCCCTCCCCGACCCGCCTCCTATACCCCCAGTTCGAACAACGAGCCGGCCGCCTACGGTAACTCGGCGGCCGTCGCTCTGAATAACCTGGACACCCTGCGCAGCTACGGTAGCGCCGGCGACGAGCTAGAAAATTTCCCGCCAGACTATTTGAGAAACCTGAACCGAACCACCCCGGTCCCGCCTCCCTCCTTAACTCTCGCTAACCCAGTCGGCGGAAACGCTACAGGCAGCGACACGGATAGCCTCCATAAGCCGACGTGGCAAGAACAGATGCAACTAGCTTCCTTCATCACGGACACGACCAAGATCAAGAACGGTGAGTAGTATGCGTTGCTGATCCCCCTCGCTCATCGTAGCTTTTTACTACTTTTGTTTTCGCTTGCGGCATGCATCGTGGGTGGAACTAGCTTCTTCTTCTTCCTTCACTGTCGTCTCCTAGCGACCCTCCGTCTGCCCCCTCCCTCTTCTCAGTATCTTTTAGCATCTTCGACGTCTAACTTCTTCATCTCTGACCACTGTTTTTTCGTATTAGGCTAGTTGGAAAGTTCTGTCGTGACCGTTCTCGACGCGTTACGTAACGGACGAGTAAGTTCGTAGACGATCCTCGCGTCCCGTTCGGATGCGAGTACGAAGATTCACTCGGTTGACGTTATCTGGAAGTACTAGGTTTGCGAACTGCTAGATACGTAGGATTGAGATCCGGTGAAACGAAGTAGAACGTAATTTAAACCCCTTGCTTTGTAACGTCGAGTCTGATCCTGGACAATTTCGAGCTGAATTTGACGAGTCTGAAGATTATTCTGTTCACGACTGCGTGGTTTGCCAAGAAAATCGTAAGGGTGCGATCCTAATGATTTAATTAGAACACGATTTCGAGTCGAAAAGTTAAAGAGATCATTGTCGTGGACATCTGCGATTCTCTTGTGGACGAAGTAACAGAGTAAGGTCAGTTTTTATGAAAAATGTGCAGTACTGTCGGTTCTCAGCTAAACGAGTAGTATACCTCAGCCTCTGGACCAACTAGAGTAGCATTCCTAATTAGACAAGTAGAGTATAACACCATCCTCTACAAAATTTGAACTTCAGTTTCGTAGTATCCTTTATTTGCTGTCCTTTTTCGAAGTATGAATACAGTCAGTAAAATATTTTCGTACATGCGTTGTCTCTGATCATAAAAGTGGTATATGACTCGCTGTTGGTCAATAGACAAGTAACTCATTCCTAAACAATGAAATAACGTAACTGTTACGGTCAAGCCCCTAGAATGCTGTTTGTCCCTTATCAGGTTGTAAAACACGTTCTACAAGATAAAGTAGACAGCCCATGTAAACCGATCGTGCTAACAGTTGTTCGACACGAAAGATAACGTCGGTACGGTAGACGCAACAGAACTTCCACCTACCCCTAGTACTGTTTCCTCTTTCCATCATCTCAATACGAATACCCAGAAGAGTATGCTGACTTGGGCGTGTAGCGAATTGAAATTAACACTGGTGTATCGTATTGTGTGCGCTAACAGACCTGAAACGAGCGAGCCCAGTGGTACCAGAGCTGACCACTGGAGGACTTCTACTAAATTCTTCTCGACGCGTGCCTCATGGAGGTGGGACCTCCGTGACCTCCATGACGTCTATCGAGGATGATCCTCGTATTGTCGGTGGTAAGTCCGAGTAACTAGTATGCCTGAAAGATTGACGATGATATCACAGATATTTGGGTCGCTTCGCTTCTCGCTGTACCTATTATCTCTTTTGGCCAGTCTTTACTTTT